ATTCGCCAGAAAGACCCCCCCCTTCGCTACAACCCATGTCTAAGCAAACGCTTGTCGAGGAGCGAGGGGAAGAAGGGAGAGTGTTTCATACTCCACGACAATACGACGGAGCAAACACCCATCGAAACCAACTTTTCGTTGCATCGTGTCGCGGGTCCACACGTCCGCACTATAAATCCAAGTGATCTCGTCACACCGGTCAAGCAATTTCGGCCAATCGAACTTCGAGGGCAGTAAAGCTGGCCACCAGGAAACGAACGGCACGTAGATACATACGCATACATATTGTCGACCCTCTTCCTGTGAGAAAATGTCGTGTTGACGAACTTGTGCTGGCGCACTGCAAACCATGTACGTATCAGTTGGTAGATAGGACATCATTTTCTCTAAACACGTACCTCCGCTCATGCTCCCGTTGTTGCAAGAGGTGTGCGTTCTGCAGCTGCAAAACGTTGTTCCTCGTTCGCTCCTGCCACAACAAACTAAGCCTCGCCTTTGCGCCATCCCCCGCACCCCTGAAGCGCACGGCGGGAAAGGGTGATACAATGAAGAAACAAAATTGTTAGGGTTACGACACATTGTACGTGAAAAAGGTGTGGCACCAAGAGAGAACACGCAACACACATGGGTGTATCCGCAGTGGGTGTCACATCGAGAGACACGTGAAACCTGAAACCTGGGACGAGACTCGTCTCTTTTTAGAAAGTAAACATAACCTCACAGAAAGACTACCCGTTCGAGATATAACCTCAGTCGAAAGGGATGTGGTGAAGTCTTTTCAGTAAGTGGATTGAAACCAACTGGAGACTTGGCTTATTTTGAGTTTGTGTAAGCCTAACATTGAGTTATCAGTAATGCCAGTTGGAACTAAGAACAAAAGCATCTGTATAGGCGGATACATAATATGTGGAATGTGGCCTTCACAGGGAACATGGCGCAGTGTCGTTTGACAACTTGCTGTTTTTAGAAAGTACATCGCTGCCGTTTTAGGCGACTTGAAGACTACAACAGTATGTACAGCTGTAGGACTGTTGTACATGTACACGCACCACAAAAAAAATGTTTTTTTTTAATTTCAAAAGTTGCAGTTGTACTACTATCTGCTGTAGATTTGAGTTCTCTTTTCTCTTGCTGTTATTGTAGCGCCCAGTGTGCCATGGCGCCCAGGGTGTGCGAAGGACACACCAAGGATACATCAGCAGCAGTCTACGTGTACAGGCGTGCACATGTCTCCTTGTCAACGGAGGACTCCTATACATGCCGCGGAGGTTCATATCATGTTCGACATTATTACAGCAGAGGGTCGATTTTCAAAGCGTGCCTTGTCTTGCTGCGAAATGCATCGTACGTCGTCGCGTTATACCGAACACGTATCGGTCGCTGTTGGCACCCCTCCCCACCTGAGTTACTTTCAGCAGTCATATGCAAAAGCATGAACTGAACAACTAGCGTATGCCACAACAGCTCAACAGCACGAACAGACCGGCAGAAGCAAGGAAGCACACAGATGACACATGGCAGCAGGGGCCAGGCGCGTGGCTGCTTGGGGCGAGGGGGGGGGTGGCGTCTTGAACATGGAAAAAACAGGCATACAATGGCATGTAACACTTCTTCCACAACAATGGGATTAGAAATGACTCACCATACCCCTTTCTTCCCTCGTTGCCTCCTAGTGAGGTGTCCACGCCGGCCTGCAAGTCCGAAGTACGACTTGCATACGGCTCGGTAAGTATCCGCGTTCCCGTATGTTTCCAACGCGTCTCTGCTTGTGAGTATCAGGCACACCAGGTCCGGCGGGGAGAAATAAGTCGCCAAGCATAGGTGCATGAAGGCGACATTGTTCCAGCCGGTCATGCAGTTATACTCTCTTCTCGGTGTAGCACACTACTCTCCTTCCTACTGCTGTACACCGACACACACAGCAGTGGTGAGTGCCCGGAGTGCCCGCGAGGTCCTTTGGCGAGGCCCCGCAGATTGTAGGGTTTCAAGTTTCAAGGCGCCTGAACCCCCTGAAATTTTCTGAAACGGTTTTGCGGCGGGTTACCTGCCTCTTCGCGTGTATTCGTCTCTGCGTCGCTCGTCTTTTCTCGATGGTTGTTGTTGTTGTTGTCGTCACATGGTGGTGGTGGTTGGTCATTGTTCGATATTCTCGCTCTGCCCCTCCTCCGCTGTCTGTTTGCCCTACATATGTAGAGGTGTTGTCACTTTGATTGGGCGACCGCTCCGATTTGGGGAGGACAATGAAGAAGAACGATAAATAGGACCCTGGCGCGTAGGGCGCACATCATGTAATCGATCGCTGCTTCTGCAAGGGACGACAAAGCTTCAGGAGCAATTTCAAAAAGCTTGGTGGGGTGGAAACATGTCGGTTCCCACCCTTGGCACGAAAGCGTTGTTCTTGCCCAACCGCAAGGGCACGCTGAAGAGAGACAATAATCGTCGAGCAAAGGTAAACCAGGCGGCTTGCGTACAGTACTTGTTTTTCTGTTTCGTCAACATGACCCGGACATTGGGGCAAGGCCTTGGGGTTGTGTGGACATGTGGACCAGCACCGCGGTTGTTCCTGTCGACGGCAGTACGAACAAATTGCACCAGAAACATGTACAGGGCTTCTGTACCCTTCGGTTCGAAATCGCATCTGATGCGTGTTCCCTGCTAGCGTACACCAACAACCATGCATGCCTTCACATCACCAGAACGTAGACCGGGGTGCCTTTGCTACGTGGTCACATGCCTTGCGAGGGCTGCGTTCGTTCGCTTGTTCACAACCCTACGATTTTGTTATGTTGGACCTGACCTCAAGTCCTGCTCTCGGCTTGGTGCTGGAAAAAAATCAAACGCTCTGTGAACACTTTACGCGTTCTCTGCACGTCATCTTGAAAAGAGTAACAATGTTCGTCGCACCAAACCCCATGCGCATAGCCACGTGCTTACCTTCCAAAGAAGGAGTGGAATTTCTTGATCGCAATTGCTGCTTCTAGACATACCACAATTGAACTGCAGTTGCCTGTTGCATAGTTGCGCGCCTTCTTTGCGAATCAGCTCGTGCCCAAACGGCTTCTCGTTGTGTCGCACCGACCTTGTGTGACCTAAGGCGCATCGCATGGCGCTGCAATCCGTGAGGGGGGACGTGGATACACGGGAACCTGCGAGTATGAAATTTTCCCGGGGGCAACTGGTGGACATGAAGAAACTGCAGCAAGAGGTGAGGGATGAGTAAGTACACTACATCTATAGAGTATACATCAGAGCGATTCGGTAATGAGTGTATCCTTTCGCGAAGTATGGGATCGAACGGTCACGCCCTAATAAGTGAGGGCGGTACAAGAACGCCGTCACAACGCTACACCAGATATCTTCGAGTCATAATCATCCTTCGCGTTCCCGTTGACAAAACAGACAAGAAGAAACGACACAAGGCTACACATCGTGGTATCCTATAGCTGCACGGTACGTGATACTGTGGAAAATTAGCCATGTCCTGCCTAGCTTTGTTGGGATAAAACCACGTACTGGTATGGTTTTGGCACTCTCCTCGTGTCAATGCGCGCGTATGGAGAGCATTGACCTCATTGCATGCGTCCGTTACACCCTGGTTGATGGGGAAGTGTTGGCAGTGAAACCTTTCTTCGGTCAGCGGGACAGTGCGGTCAATACTGATACTAATGTTATGTGCTTATCGCTATGTCGTTGCCTTCCTTGGTGTTCAGGCTGCACGGGCGGAGCACGTCGAGAAGTGCAACCGCAAGTTGGTGGACAAAATGATGATGATCATGCAGGTCAGCAGCAGTGACATTTACTTGGGATTTGATTTGTTGTTCCTTCCGTGCGAACCGCATGTGATGATTTCAAGAAATGCGGCTTGATTTGTTTTAGCCCAAAGATTCCACGCTGATTGGGGGGTTGCATGTGAGAGCTGGCGGTTTACGATGTCAAATGAGGCAGTCGGTACTTAGTGATGCACAAGGCGTTGGTTCTTCAGAAGACCCTCGAGTTGGTCTCCTTTGCGAGTCCCGTCAGTTCCGTGCTAGCTATCGATGGCGAGCTTCACGCAGTTCTGTTAGTACACTGCCGTCATATGCACAATGCGGGTGCGACGCTGTCGACGCCGTTTTACGCACTGGAATCTACATCTTCATCGAGCTCAACAGAACAAAAAACGTCCCAAGCACGCACCATTGGTGGCAAGAAGCGTACTCATTCACATGAACGAAATTCGGCACTCCGTCAGTCCCGAATATGGACAGAGACCACGCATAACAAAGCATGATTACCTCGCCCGTGATCTCTCTTGACAGGGGCTCTGCGGCACGATAGTCTCCGAGCAGACGTTTCCGGACTTCAACCCAGGCACGCTGAACTATCGCATTCGGCAGCGCGAGCTGGTGCGCATCGACCGCGACAATCTGGCCCTGATGCACCGCCTCGAGACCGCGTCCTCGGGATACAACAAGGCGCTCGTCAAGCCCAAGTATTTTCAACAGCCGCACATGGGGTTGTTTCCGAGGTGCGCTTTACACCTTCTGTGTTTGCTTGAGGGGAATTGACATACTGGAATATCCCGCGTGTTTAGGCACAAAATGGGGTGCACGTTTCTTACGGTTTTTGGCCTGCGTCCGCCTGTGCGCCGTCTTGTTGACCCTGGTCTGTACTCGTAGAAGGGTCTCCTCCAACGAAGCTTTTGTGTTCGAACCGTCGAGGGCGTGCCCTTGGTTGCATGAACGTCTAGTGCTTCTGCTGCTGCTGCTGTCGTCGAACACATGTTCTCAAAAACAGCAAACACAACCACAATTACCAACCTTTAATACACATCCACAGCAGTGAACAATAGCAGCAGTACCATTGAAGCCTCGGATTCGCTTATGCAATCGAAAACAAATCCTTCATCACATCAGGTCCGAGCAGAGCGTAAAATCGATGGGAAGCAAGTCTCGAAAGCGAACACGGCCGGGAGGGCCACCAACCGCGCCTTCGTGCTGTAGCGAGGGAAGGGCACCCTCTCCGTCGTTTCGTGTGGGGTGTGGCGGCAATGGTGGTGGCCGCAGCGATGACGGAGGGCTGGGATGGGGGGCTAGCATAACCTCGACGTTGACTGAACCTTCCTCGTTTCCCACCACCACCCTAGGAAAATTCCACGACGCTTCTTCCCCCGCCCCCGTGCGGGAAAACAGCGGGGAATGGAGGGAGAGCGGCGCGGACGCGCAAGCTTCAGAGGTGCGACATTTTACTATGCAGTAGATATCTCTTTGATACATATCAGGGATGTAAGGAAAGGGTGCGCGACGCACGGGCTGTGTAGGTGAGCTTCCACGCAACTGTTACTCAGGCGTTGTTAGGCCGCCCTGACGGAGGATGAGACGGGAGCGGCAATTCCGACCCTTTGCGGCATACATCACCACCTATCCTCACCGTCGTGTTGTAGCCCCCATGCCTAATGCTTTCGTCCTTCTTTGCGGAGCCCCGGTCATGGCCCGGGGTCAGACACGGAAAACGTTGCCAATTGTCTGCAGTGTTTCCCATTCTGTTCACTCGGAACTCCATGTTCACATCCATGCGGTACGAAGCCACGAGCAATCTGTCGATTTGTCGGGTCAAAGGGATGTTGAAGTATAAGGGCGTGCCGCTTTCTTACAATGCCCCGAAGCTGTAGGCAATATATGAGACCACTACAGGCGGGAATGAAGTTGATTGTGCTGCTACTACTGTTTTGGTGCACGACAAAAGGCGTACGAGTCTACCAGGTATCTTCACACCCCGCACTAGCCTACCCGATGGCAGAGGTGTAGGGTAGTGACGGGGGCTGAAACGCCAGGTTACCCACGGCCAGATACCGCTACCGCCTCCTTAAGATATGTGTGCGGGCATATAGCACCAGCCCACATGACGCCTGCGGGTCAGCGCACCTCTGATTTCCTTCCTGTGTTGTTCGTGATGCAGCTAAGAATCGATGAACCCGGTGACCTTGGCGGTGGTGACGGCGGCGGCCGCGGCAGCGTTGATGGTGGGTCCGTACACCCGGCGACCGGGTTCGCCCGAACACCCCACCCTCCCTCGATATCCTCACGAGCTACTTGCGGCAGGTACGGTTTGATACGACGCGGGGTAAGCGGGGGGCGATACTATTGGCGGGGCATTGTACTGCAACAAGAAGATCCAAGCACTAGCAACGTTTGGGCGCCGACGCTCTTCCTTGGTTGAACAATGCGGAAAGGGTGGCTGATGGCGACTGAGCATAAACATGCTAATTCGTGGAAACGCAGTAATCTAGACAAGAAAAGCGCAAGGCTGATATTGATTTAGTACAACGGCAACCCGAACCCGAACCCGACTTGCGTCATAGTTTGTGACCACGGAGCTCGTCACTCAACGGTTGAGTTGAATTAGGAAATACAACTGCGAAGAGGCCCGAACGATTTTGAAGGTGAAGGAAGCAGCAGCAGCATTTCGAATGAAAACGGCGGCTTATTGATGGACAATAGCAGCAACATCATTCGCACCGATTCGTTCGTTTTCATTTGATCCGCCCTTTCCGTTTTCCAAAGCCTCTCGGGCAAGGCTTCCTCGAAGTTGAGAAACTGCCGGCGGTTGGCGAGGCCCACTGCGGCCAAGCCGGGCGCCACGGTGTTTCAAGGGGGAGTCCGAATCGGCGACGACTACGCCATTGTGATAGTCACGTGAGTTTCGTCCCTGCCGCCTCATCACGTAAAGGGAGATATGCGGTGGGATAACAGAAGTGTCGGATCGTAGGGGTAAAGGTCGTAGTAGTCATAGCTGTCTTCTGATATCTGGTTCCGTCTGCTCTGTACCTTGTAACGTCGGTTCTGGTTCAACCGACGCAGATGCTTTCCGTGGTCACAGCTGAACGACCCAAACAGAACGTACATGGAAGTATGGATGGAAACGTGGAACCAGTGTGTGCCCACCGTTGCTT